CAAAATATATGTTTAAAATAGTCATGAATTTTTCAGATTGCCAAAACACGCTTTCTTAAACGTATTTAAGAAATACATTAAATGCAATTTATAGATTATAATTTAAAATACATATTTTAACTTGTTTTGCTATATTTTCATTATAGAATAGTATAATTTTGTACTTTTATATCTTTCACATTTATAATAAATGCAAGGTAATATATATAGGTTATCATAATTTGAATTATAAGTAGACTTTGATTGGACTAATACTAATAGTATTATGAAAGAAATTAAACTTGGTGTTATGATTTATCAATCTCTTAATTAAGCCATTCAAGGAGTGTGCTGTTATTAGTGCTGAGGTAAATAGGATTTTAGGTTGTATCCAAATGAATAAAATGTTGAATTCAAGTCCAAAGAGGTTATAATTCCATTGTATAGATCAGTGGTTATGGGTATTGTTTTCAGTCACGGGCACATTATCTTAGGAAGGGCATTGATTGATGGAATGGGTCCAGAGGATGGCTACTAGCAATATATCTAGGATGGAAAGCTTGTCATACGAAAATAGATTTGCATTCCCTTGAAAAAACGAAAAGCTAGAGAGGATCTGATTGAGGTGTTGATGCATCATATTTTTCGTATTTAATGACGAGAATGGTAGGAATAAGGGACGCAAATATAAATTGTCACAGTATAGGAATCATCTTCACCTAAGACAACATTATTTTTCTAATAGAGTGGCCGGTCTTTGGAATGGGTTGTCTTCAGATGTAGTTAATTTAAGGGAGTTTAAGAGAAAACTTCATAAACATTTGAATGATAAGGGCTAGCTTTTAGTATTTTATTTTAAAGTTTGGTTTAGTTTAGTGGATGGACTATAAGGCTTATGTAATGATAAATTGAATACAATTGTAGTACATATTTTCCGCTTGGACATATTATTTATTTTTCGTTTATATGGTTTAGACGATAATACATACAGTTTGAACACACAGCATAACGACGAAACTGGTGGTACTGCAATGAAAAAGTGCAGGTCGGTTCTTACCCAAGCCTTGGCGGGGTGGGGAGGTTGTCTCAACTAAAACAAACTGGAAAATTAATATTACAAAATCAAAATAAGTTTCCCCCCCGAACTTCTACTTCCCGTGACTTTCTCGTTTGCTGTTCCCAATCGTCTCATATTATTCATATATTTATCACTTAGTCGTCTGCTCGTCTTCTAGAAATTTCTATATCCTCGACATCAATGAATTATAAACACAAGTTCCAATAATCGTCGCTTTTAACTGTTATTATAAAAAAAAATAAACAATCATGAAATATTATCTCACAAAATAATTAATTAATACTACCTACGCTAAACACTTTTATATCATGACAAATGTTTCTACAAGCTTAAAGCCTTGTACACTTCCGTAAATTGCCTTAGGTCTATATTACAAATTAGGTTAACTAACGTTGAACAAAGTAACTTCTATAGCTAACACACTGATGGTTTGTTCCCTATCTTGAAATCACTCTACATTATCTTCACTATCTCGAATATAACATGTACTTTCGAATATGCTAGAAAACTTAACGATACATCCTTAGAAGTTTCTAATAGATATCATAGGTCTATATCATTAAACCTTCCGATCTCAGTGTTATCACTAAAACCTACAGCTTCCTCCAATTAACATTAGCTATGTAACTTATAACAAGAAGGAAGTCTTTTTCTCAGCTAGACCAAGTAAGGTAAAAATGAGATATAAAATACTAAGTAAAGGTACAAGAAAATACAAAAAAATGTGAAGGTTTCTATAATAATTCTTAAAATCGTCAAAACGTTGTTACTTCATGGAAAATATTGATGAATAATAAGCAAGAAGTATAATTGCTTGGGGCAGTCAGTTTCGCTTGGGAATGACTGTTCTGATGCCGCCACCTCCCCTACCGAAAAAAAGAGTCCAATTTATTTTTTAACATTAAATAGTCGTGCTCACTGTCAATATGAACGAAAAGGTTTTCATTGTTTGTTTGTTATATTTTGTATAATCAATGTGCACTGTTTGAGTAATAATTAGGAAGTGTAACTAAAATATATAATTGGTTTTCGTCCAAAGTTTTAGGATGGACTTTCTCTTTTTCGTGTCAAAAGTCCACTTAGGCCTATTCAGTTGCTTTCGAATTGTAGTTGACGAGACAAACTACCTTTCTCTATTTTTAACGCATTAGTATTCCGTGTATAATTCAGAAATTGCTTTGACAGAATAAAATGTACTTCTCATCTCTTTTAAAACTGTTAGTTTTACTCTAACATATTAATCGTTAGGTCTTTCACTCCTACAGGCAGCTAACTTTACATGTTTCTTTGGTATACATATAGTGTCTATGATATTTTTGTTTGTTTGTTTTTGAATTTCGCACAAAGCTACACAAGGGCTACCTGCGCTAGCCGTCCTTAATTTAGCAGTGTAAGACTAGAGGGAAGGCAGCTAGTCATTACCACCCACCGCCAACTCTTGGGCTACTCTTTTACCAACGAATAGTGGGATTGACCGTCACTATATAACGACACCACGGCTGAAAGGGTGAGCATGTTTGGTGACACGGGAATTCGAACCCGCGACCCGCAGATTGCGAGTCGAGCTCCTTAACTAACGGGCCATGCCGAGCCTTCTATGATATACCTATGATCTCTACAGTGTAAAGAATTTGTTGTACATATGTTTAACTTGTTCGAATACATATACATATGTATATATTATTTTGAAAACAACTGAAGTGCGTGCTGTTCATTTTATCGTCGAATTTATCGCCAACAAGTCACAGACACTTACTGTCGAAGAATCCTTGGTCCAACACCCATATTATTCAACCTACTTATTAAATACTACTACTATATATAATATTGTTACGACAGCGGAAGTCACGTGACCCTAGTAACACGTCACTAACTTCTAGAAAGATCCTGTCTCTTCCTGAAGCCTCGGGAGGCTACTAGATATGCGGTAGTCTTGTATATATAAGATCGTAAGAACTGACAGGAACAATGTAATTGAACTGCGGACAGAGAGAGAGAGAGAGAG